AGCAATAGATTAGGGCCGCCTACTAGAAAGTTTAAGTGATTGAACTTGTTCATGGCTTTAACATGTTTTGTTTATGAGGTATTGGCTTCTGTACATGTACTCGAGGGCCCAGAATCAGGCAAGAATTCAGAGCTTTGGACACTGAGATAAGAACACAGCAAGATATTCTGGTAGGAACCACATTTAGTATGTCGGTGGTTGAAAGCTATTATCCACTCAATCCCAAAGAACTTTATTTGGTTTCAGTATAGTAAGGTTTGAATTTTGCCTCACACTTGTTAGGTAGGTCCCCCCACCAATTGAGCTATTCTGCCAGCCTCTTGGCTGAGGGATTTTCATTAACATGTTGGTTTTTGCAGCAGAAAAAATAAAATCTTCAGAATCTCAAAGTAGCTAGAAGTAGAAGATGAAGCAGAGCTCTTTTTTTGGCTGCTCGTGATGTGGCACACCTGTTTGTCACCAACAGTGTAGGGTTAAGGACAGATACAGATTTTAAGCTGATCTACACTTAAAATTTTCTGGGATAGATTTACTCATGAATAGCCTCAACTAAGTGTCCGTGTTGTTAGTGTAGACACCTTCAACAGTTTGTAGGAAAAAAATATGTTATGTGCCTAGTCAAGAGGCTGCATGGTCCTTATATAAAAATGGATGTGTATGCACAAGCATGTATTCGAGTGGGAAGGAAGACAGAGTACTGGGACTAGGTGTACAAATATTTGAGTTTCTTTGAAAAGAGGGAACATCAAAGTCAACTTTTATCTTTTTGTGGAGTAAATGTTGAAGAATTAGGATAAAATCAACCGCTGAATTAGTTTCTCTTTTAATACCACTGTCATTAAACCTAATATTGTGAAATTATCATATGGTAAAGTACATGTGAAATTTTCAGAAAGTTTACAGTATAAACTCTTGGTAAAAGTCAGCCCTAGATAATGGACCATAGCTAGCAATGACATTATACAGGTTGGATCTCCACATTGGGAAGGAAGGTTCAGTACAATTTTGTGAAGTCTTGAAAGATTGATGGGGAGAATCCTTTATACTGTGATTGTCTCCTTGTTATGTGACATCTCTTCCTTATAGATATAGCTAAGGCTGAAATACTAGGTGGCCATATCTTAGTCAGATAACTGGTGTGTGTCTGAGGCTCTGTTGATCATTTGTTGATACTATGGACTGACTCTTCTGTGTAAAGTAACTTCAGACAAGTGTGAAATTCTTTCAGAATGAAAATCATTAAAGCCAAGGGGCCTTGAAGCCCTTTAGGAAGCTGGTCTCAGAAGCTAACAGTAGCCAGAACAACAGAAGATAACATATTCTGACTCTGCAGGCTCTTGTAAATGTGTGGGTACCAACTTAAGACAAGCCGCTGCCTGGAGTGTGAGCTCTCTGCGGAAAGTTGAAGTACAAGGCAAATACACCAGCTCCTTCCTAACGGTAGCACTGATTGTTCAATTTTTTGGTGCTTGGTGGGTTTTGTTTTGTTTTGCTTTTGTGCCATTTCTGGGACTTGAACTGAGAGCCTGGTTGCTGTCTTTGAGCTCCCCCCCACCCCCTACTCCCATCTCAAGGCTAGTGTTTTACTACTTGAATCACAACTCCACTTTCAGCTTTGTAGTTGTTAATTAGAGATGGTACTTTCTGAACTAGGCTGGTTTTGAACAGCAGTCCTCAGATTTCAGCCTCCTGAGTAGCTAGGATTACAGGCATGAGCCACTGGTACCTGGCCCTTGTTTGGTTTTAATATGTAAAAGTAGTAACTCATTTCAGAAAAGAATTAAAGGTACAAAATGGTGTCTGTATTACAGTTTGTCTTCTTGTGATGATTAGTCCAGGGTGTATTAACCAGGCTATGGTTAGAAATACCTTTAACAATGGGTTTTGATGTTTTTCAGGATATTGAGAAGTGGGAGGTGATTCTGATTCTTGATGCATAAAAAGTTTAGATGATAGAAGTATGGTCTGGTTTTCTGTTCACCTGGCACAGTTGAAACTTCCTTTGTCAGGATACAGTTAATGAACAAGCAGAAGCACAGAGGCCAGTTCAACATTTTTCTGAATACTAAGTAGACTAGGATTTAGAGCTAGAAGGAACAAGGTAATAACAGTTGTACTTTGTTGTCAGATGAAGCCTTTTTCTAGCCTGTTCCTTCTTCCAGGACTTCTTATTTCTAGCTGCCATCAATATTCATAAGGATAGCTCATTTGAACAAGGACAATTATTGAGAATTCCTTCCTTCTCCCATCTTGGTTCCTGCCACCATTTTTCTGCCCATACAATTAGTAGATCCCACTGAATCTTGGCTCTGTACCCAAGTCCCTATAATTTCAGGTGAGGACTAGAAATGATGAGAAAGAGAATGAGTTGGTTTATTACTTTCAGTTTATAAGTGTCCATTTCCCATTTCTCCTCCAAGTCTAGAGATAGTTGTAGTTGTTTTGTTTATATTGGCTTTGTGTTATAAGAAGAAAACCTAACCAGTTGATATTATTGAAGGAGTATGGAAGTTAAATTTTTAGTTAAAGCTTTGTTCAGAAAAATATTTTGTTTCCTTTTAAAACAATTTACTGAATCAAAAATATTGCTAAATAATTATTTTAGGCATAACAATAATGTTATGTTAAAAATAATGGTATAACTTTGGAAAGCAGTCTGGAGGGTTCTCAGAAAGCTAAATATGGACCTCCCCTATGGCCCAGCCATACCACACCTAGGCATTTATCCTGAACAACAGGAACCAGAATACAAGGACACATACACCTCCATGTTCATTGTAGCAATGTTTACAATAGCCAAAATATAAAAACAATCCAGATGCCTCACTACAGATGAATGGACCTAAAAATTGTGGTACTGATATACAATGGAATATTATGCAGTCATTAGAAAGGACAGAATAATAGCATTCATAGGGAAATGGCTGGAACTACAACAAATAATTTTGAGCGAGGTGAGCTAAGTGCAGAGAGACAAATGGCACACGGTCTCCCTGATATGTGGGTGTTAAATCCAAAATGCAAGGAGATATGACAAAGTAAACAGGACTCAAGAAACAAAGGACCTCCACTCAATTCATTCTATCATTTCTAAATGACTCCATGTTCTTGACTACAATATGGTATATATATATATGTGCACATCTGAGGAAAGCTAGGAAGAGGACACAAAATCAGAGTGAAACAGGGGAAAATATACCACAGACAGGCCCATAAGCTGCACTGGACATAGATGAAAATGAATTACATAACTCAAGGGCAGTGATAGGAGGGAGGGAATGAGAGGGAAAGAGGGAACAGCTTATACTAAGCAAAAGGAGAGTAATGTACATATCACCCAGTGTGGAAGAAAATAGTTGTCTTATCAGAGCTTATAGAATTCACAAACATAGGCCATGATAATGACAATTTTCCTTATGAAGGTTCAAATGTGTTTGTGACTCTAAGTATCACTATCTCACAATAGTGTGAAATTTATATAATCACTTAATCACAATAATTTTTTTTTAAATTAGTGGTATAGCCAAGCACTGGTCACCTTGGAAGGCAAAATCCTCCTGCTTGAGTGTTGCAGTAACAGGTGTACCACCACACACAGTCTCTTCTATATCTTTTTCAGTTTCTCTCAATTTGCATTATTTGTTTATATCCATAGTCTACCTATAATTATTTTTTCCTACTTGTCAATTCTATAATATCCTTAAGTATGAGTTTAAATTACACTTGTTTAAGGGTTTTTGTTATGGTACTGGAATTTGAACGCTGGGGTTCACATTTGAAAGGCAGGTGCCTTTTACCACTAAGCTTTGTCTACAGCCTTGTTTTTCTGCTGATTATTTTTTAGATAGGGTCTTACTTTTCTGTGCATACCCTTGGGCATGACCTGCCTATGTTAGTTAGGCTTTGGGGTATAGGTAGGATAACAGGCAAATACCACCTTGTTCAGACCTCCTTTGAGAAGAAATCTTGTAAACTTTTCTGCCTAGGCAGGTCTTGAACTGAGACCATGTTATTCTCAGACTCCCAAGTAGCTAGGATTACAGGCATGGGCCACTGATGTTCAGCTTACAAAGGATGATCACGTCAGGCCACAGTACATTCTCTACTGAAATTACTGTAATTATCACTTACTTTGACATTAAATTACATATAACTCATGTGACCTGTTACAAATGACTAGATATAAGGCGAACCTTTTTTCCCCTCTAAGCATTAGCTTTCAGAAAATATAGATTATCATTATTTGATTTCTTATGAAGTTTTGTTACTGTGCTTGGAGTGAGTTTATAATCATTTATGAAAAAAGATAAGTTAATTTTTTTCAGTCATGGGGCTTGAACTCAGGGACTGGGCACTATTCCTGAGCTCTTTTGCCCAAGGCTAGCACTCTACCACTTTGAGTCACAGTTCCACTTCCAGTTTTTGTTGTTGTTGTTTTGTCGGTCTCTGAACTCTGCACCTGAGCGCTGTCCCTCAGCTCTTCAGCTCAAGGCCAGCGCTCTACCACTTGAGCTACAGCTCCGCTTCTGGTTTTCTGAGTGCTTATGGGAGATAAGAGTTTCACGGACTTTCCTGCCCGGGCTGGCTGTGAACCGCGATCCTCAGATCTCAGCCTCCTTAGTAGTTAGGATTACAGGTGTGAGCCACCAGCATATCACTAAAATTAATTTATGTTACCATTGGCTCACTCAATCAATGCTACTTTTTGCAGAGGTCAGCTGACCTAACTGGTTTTTTTAAAAAGGAGACTAAAATGCCAAGGAAGTTTTAGTTTTTATAAATATATCCTTATTTGAAGTGTTAAATATATTGTTTGCAAACCTTAATATTGAAAACTCTAAAAAATAAGCTAGATTCTGGTAGCTACTCAGGTGGCTGAGATCTGAGGATCACAGTTTGAAGCCAACCTGGGCAGGACTGTCTGTCAGATGTTTATCTCCAATTAACCACCGGAAAAAAGCAGGAAGTAGATCTGTGACTCTTAAGTGGTAGAGCTCTAGCCTTGAGTGATAAAACTGAGACAACACCCAAACCCTGAGTTCAAGCTGCACAACTTACCCCTTATTTATATCACTTATGAAACACAAAATGTGAAGATTATAAATAGACACCAATCAAATGAGTAAGAGGAGAAAAGAATAAAACCTAATATAGTGTTAGAGGTCTAGGTTATTATGCTTTGGAATGAAATTTCCTAAGACAGTATAGACTGAGAAAAGTGCTGTTATATAAAAAATAAAAATAAAAATCTTAAAAAGAAATGCAGAGAGCACAAAAGGTATTCATTCACTCTCTGTTTTTTGATTGCCATGACCCTTCCTGCCATGATGGACTTAAACCTCTGAAACTATGGTCAGTATTCAACTCTAATGAAAAGTTAGTATCTGGTTAAAATTTTTCATATTAGTACCAGCGATGAGAAATTCTAGCTAATAGACAGTAAAGAAACAAATTGGAGCCAAGTTTTTCACTCATTGTCTCCAACTTGTTTACGGAGATGGATTGAATGCTCAAGTCTAGAAGAAAACCAGATGAGTGCAATTACAAGAGTAGATGTCTTTGTTTGTGGAGTATAAGGCAAGGAAATCTACATATCTCCTTTCATCCTAGTTCTTGATTGTTTACTTCTTTTAGGTAGTTTTCCATCTTTTACCATTTACCTACTGTTGAGGAATAAGGAAAACCAAATAGAGGCTGAAGTTAAAGTTAGGTGGAAGAAAGGGGGAAAAAATTAAAGAAAGCAAAAACACCAAAATAAAGAATTGGTTTTAATTCCAGGTTTCAATCTTCTAAGAGCCCCATCCCCTATAGGAACTAAATTAATGCTCACTGCCCTTTTCTGATGCAGTTCAAATCTCCTTTGCTCCTTCATATAGTAAAAGACAATACTTTTAACTGGAAAAAAAAGAAAGAAAATAAGACATACTTTTGTTTTGTTTTGTTTTTTTGGGTCCGGTCATGGGGCCTTAACTCTGGGCCTGGACGCTGTCTCTCAGCTCTTCAGCTCAAGGCTAGCACTCTACCACTTGAGCCACAGCGCCACTTCCGGCTTTTTTCTTTTTG